TTAACCAATAAAATTTTTACAATATCACGGGATGATCTGCAAAAATTAGCCAATCACAATGAAAGCCCGCTATGCTTCCTGATACCGTATCGTCACGAAATAACGCCCAGGGTGTTATTTCGACACATTGCTTGAAAAGAGTGAATAATTAATTTAATCGAATGCGAATCATAATTTTTTATTATTAAAAGTCTTCGGCTAAATTAAATTACTAGTTCTTTCAAATAATGTGACTCGAAATAACGCCCTGGGGCGTTATTTCGCTACGATACGGTGAATTTCGGGTAAAAATCAAAACCCTAATTATAATGAAGCGCAAAAGATTTGATTGAATCTTAATAATATTGATTTTTACCCGGAATGTATCAGTATTATATGGAAATGGCCAGGAATCTAGTCTGGAGAAAGTCGGGATACGTTTTTCGAAATTTTTTAAAAGGAATGATCAAACGAATTCGTAAATCTTTTTCTGATCGCCTTTGATAGAATACTTAAACTTTATAACAATCAAAGAAAAAATAAACAGAACGTGAAGAATAGAAATCATCATAAATGCCTAAATATATTAAAGAATTTAATCTACGATATTCAAGAATGATGACTGATTAGGGTGTTCAGCTAATTAATCAAAACTTATGTAGGGTTAATATGATAATCATTATTTGCGGATTTTTTTTTACCAAAATCTGCGAATTATTTATTGAACTTAACTTTTTATTTAATTTATAATAAAAATTTGATATATTTAAGTTACATTTTTCTAAAAATTCAGGACTTTAATATAAAATTTGATAAATAAATTTTATATTTGATGTCTAAGGCAAGAATAAAATAGAATTGTTTTTTTAAATTACTTTCAATATATCGACTAAATAAATAATTTTGAAGGTAATAAATATATAATTATATCTATTGTATAATAGTTAAACTAAGTTATATCAAAAAAAGAGCTCTCTTTCATTCTTAATTTACTTCTAAGCTTCAATTTTAAAAAAAACTTTAATACAAAAAAATAGCTAGACATAGAGAAAAATATAAATTTATATTATCATCGTTGGTTTTGTCTATGTCATTTCTGAAGCAGACTCCAAATTGTTTACTCTAATTTCCTACACAGTTGATTTTACTAGGTCAGGGATCGTGTCAAAAGTAATTGCGTGACAGTAATGATTTGAATTTAAAATATCATATTAATCTTTACGCTCTCAGACTAAATCAAGCAATAAATTAAAAGGTATTAAGTAAGAATAAAGTTTATGAATAGTCTAAGTAAATAATAGTAAAATACGTAATCTGAGCTGCACGTGACAAATAACAATAAATTTAATTGGACACTCTTGTAATATTAAAGTTGGTTTTAAGGGATAATATAAATTAAAAATATTATTCTGACATATATAGCTCAGAGGTATTTGCTGCCACCCTAGTAGATCGGCTCCTAACGGTCGCTGGTTCAATACGCGTTAAGTGCGCTATTCCTAATAATTTAATTATTAGGATTTATATTCTGAGTAGTCTTCTGAGGATTATTCCCACAGCGAAGATGATGCGGAATATAAGGTACGTACCGTACTTCTGTACGTAGATAGTGGTGCTTAACGAGGAGTATATATGCTTTCTTTATTTTTGGTATTATTCTTTAATAACATTCGAATTTTATATATTTGTGTATTTGGTTTTTCTTTTTTTTGAGTAAACACCCCATGGGACGTCATTAATTATTATGGTTAATATTTTTCTAGGTGCAGGTAATTTCATCGCTGGTGTCGTCTTTATTTTGTTGGGTTTAGAACTCGTAATGTCGCTGCTTTGTTTGGATTCGCGCTGTTCGAGTCGTTGTCTTTCCAGGTGGTAAATAATTCATGATTTTCGTCCGTTGTTGGTGTGTTTTCGTCGCTCCGTGCCTGCTAACTCTGTTGCTGACCAATTCTTAGGTTGCTTGATTCGACTTTCTGCTACTGGAGGATTCTTGATTGTGTGATTTCGCGACTTTGTCATTAATTTTTGTTGAGCTCAACCTTGATGCGGTTTTGTAGTTGTTTGTGTAATAATTTCATGACATAGTCAACTAATTTTTTGTTTCATCATTACCGTGAATTGTAGTTATTGACGTAGAGTTGTTATGATTAACGTCATCAATACCAGAGTCGTCACCGTTGTTTGTCATTATTGAATTGTCACGAGTACCTGTGGTGTCACGTTGCTGTGATTTTGCGTTTAGTTACTGTATTTGGACTTTGCAAGGTTAGGCCTGGTATTAGTTGTTGTTCTTGAAATTTATACGTAGTAATAGGCATAAGGTTGTATTATTGTTAGGTTTGGGAAGAGGTCCCGAATTGTGATTCGTAATATGATATAATATAAACTATGATTAAACATGAACAAAAAATGATGATTCATAAAGTATTAAAGTATGCAGAGAATAAGCTTTTTGACCATGAAAATAATAATTACATCATTCATAAAATGTTATGTCAATTGAATCAGATCAAACCTTCGATATAAAATATCTAATTGGAAACTTTTTATTTGAGTAGAAACTTAAAGTATCGGGATAAGCTGTAACATAACTAAATTATAGCTTTTGGTTTTAAAGTATGGCATGTTGTATCATGCGTATATATTCTGTGTCAAATTATAGATTTTGTTGATTATTAATCGACTCAAGTCATTCTTTGATTTCACCCAGATTGAAGAATAATCCAGGTTGAATTATAATTCAAGTTCGCTAAAAAAACCTTTGTTAATATTATGTTTACATTTATAAAAAAAAAAAAAGGTTCACTAAAATCTTCATATGCCTTTATATTTACAAAAAATAAGATCTAACATATTTATTGAAAATTCTTTAAATAACTTTTTGATGCTTATTTTTCATACTAGATGTAACCCGTTGCTTCACTTCAAGTCTTAATTTATATATTAATTTATTGACGTCATAATTAGAGTACATAGAATATAAAATTAAATTTTTTTTTACATGATATAATGGGTCGAATTTAAATATTATATTATATAATAATATCGTTATATAAAAAATATGCAAATAGCATTTTCAAAGAAAGTAAATAAAATGCAGGTGATACAATTTTTTTTTTGCTTTTTACTTTTTAAATTATGCGTAATATCGATTCACCAAGTTATAACAAAAAAAAATGGCTGTTTATAGACTGGTAAATATTGAAAGCTCAACATGTTGAATTGCATAATTTGAATGTTACTCACCTTGCCATTCAGCATTATCACTCACATACGTGCATAGCAAGCTGAGTGGTATTCAAATTATTTCTCAACATTTTTTAAATTTTACTAATTATAAACTCTATAAATTAAATTTAAGCAATTACTAATTGTACACTAATGTATCAAACACAGATGCTTATAATACTCAAAAATTTATATATGAAATCACCTTTGGGTTTCTAATAAAAAAAAGGGGAATTTACAGATAAGGGCCCCAAAAACGAAAATAATTACAAATAAGGGCCCAAAATAAAAATAATTACAGATAGAGGCCCAATATTTAAAAATTATTACAAATA